AAAAAAACACATTCAGCTTGTAATTTAAATATAAATTACCACTCATATTTTTATTAAAATTGATAGCTGAGCTAGATATGGTAGTGCACATGTGTCATTCAGATAACTGAGGAGTCTGAAGCAGGAGGATCACGAACTTGGATCCAGTGTACATACAGGAGTTTAAGCCAACCTGGGTAACTTGGCCAGCCTCCACTTCAAAATAAAAATGAAAAGCTGTACGTATAGTTCAGTGGTAGAACACTTGCCTAGCCTGTTGGAGGCCCTGAGTTCTATCCCTAACATCCCATCACCATATGATACCTGAAATAAATAGATTTGAATTATAGAGTGTGAGTCTATGTCTCTTTTTTTATTTGGTCATTATTGGGCTAAAACTGTAGCCCAAATAATCACACAACTGTATTAGTTATTTAATAAAATAAAAACTACTGCTCACAGTAAGAATAAATAGGCATGTCTATAGTCTGCCTTTCATGTTCTAACTTTTTAGCCACAAAGTAACTTAACTTTACAAAATAAATACAGATGAATATGTCGGTTATTTGCAATAGTCTGCATTCCAATTAATTCTAGACTCAGACAACTGGCCTGGCTAAATGCCTTTGCAGCTCAACTGGAATCCTACTAGAGTGGACTAAAACCTTAAATAGATTATAAAGCAATTCAAAGTGCCAACATTCTGCCAGTATTATTGTCACAGTTCTAGATAAACTATATCTTGTATCCCTTTCAAATGCTAGCTCTACTCCAACTGTGTTCCTTATAGGATTAACAACAACAAAGAACAGAGGAAAGTAATGTACCCAACAGATTAAAAATGGTGGGCCATTTTATTTTTATATACAAAACTTTTTTTAAATTTTAGAGTTGGAATTTTTATACAAGAATCTTAGTTACATTAGAGTTTTACTCAAACTCTAGAAGCAGTTCATGAACTGGATAATAAACAGAATAGAGGTCTACTGACAAAAGGCTGGAGGTATTTTATAGAAAAGTGAGAAAGGAAAATATTTAAAGCTGACACTGAGGTTGGTGGAATGCTTGCCTAGCAAGAACAAGGCCGTGGGTTTAATTTTCAACTTTGCAAAAACAACAAACAAGCCAAAAATTATCTAGTTATGTAGTTGGAAAGTCCCTAGTTATGTAACCGTATTAGCTGGCTACTTATGATTGGCTAGGACTTTTGTTTTTGTCTGAATGAAGCATTTATCAGAAAAGAACCAAGTTATTTTGCTTATATTTGCAATCATGACCCCAGGTAACACTTTGTATAAATTTGCAACTTAAGATTTATTTTTGACTCTTGTGGTTCTAGGGCTAGACTACATCCCCAGCCCTAATGGGATTGATTTTTAAAGACATTTTTCAGCTCCTGTCTGCATTTTGCCTTTGCTTTAACAGAATGAATATTTTCATTTCTGTATAACTATAATCAGACATAGCACCTTGTAGTTTGCTGTGCTCAAAGTCACTGGGTTGAAACTCTGGTACCCATTATCAAATCATTTTCAGTTCTTGCAATTCTGACTATCATCATTAGGGAGTACCATGGTATCATAAAAGGGGAAATTCTAGTATTGCTTACAAAATACTTCTGTTTTTAATAGGTCCTTTAGTGGTAAGAGCAGACTTAAGTTAAAGCCCAGAGTAGTAAGTACCAAAGCAACAGGTCACTTTCAATAATTATATTTTAGTGAGGGCAAGTCAAAATTCAAACTTCAAACTATACATCTGAGGGCTTTATATTTTTGCTTGCAAATGAGAATCAGAAGTTAACAGTACACATCTGGCAAGGCTGTTCATACAAAATAATACATAAAGGATGCTTACCACAGTGACCGACAACAAAAAGCTCTACTTTGTCCATCAGCTTTACTCCATTAAACATATTGCTCCTGAAATAGCTTTACAAAGTTGTTCTAGTCCTCAAATATTAAGTGAATGCTGAAGTTATAAAGTGGCAATTGTGCCACTATTTTTTTTAAGTATGTACAAGTGTGGTTTTGTGGTAAGTGGAATAAATTTTCCCTGACATAAGTAGGACATATTTTTCCATTTATCTTTTCAAATGATAGTTATTAACTTCTCTCTTTAAAACATAAATAGTATCAGAATGCAGAATATATACATGAATGTAATCTTTCATCTAAGCTTTTTTTTTACATTAAAATGAATGTGACTAGAGTACTTGTATCATAGAAGCCTAAGCTGACTTACTTGTAATGTACCAGAGATATTCTGGCCTTTTCTCTTTGAATCATGCTACAGATGCCACTCTTGAAGTCACTGGGTAAAGTAACACTGAAAAGTCACATATCACATACCTATACAAAGTTTTCATATTTCTCTTCAAATGAAACATTTCTCTTTCAAATGAAAGACTTCACAATTTTTTTAGATTCTGAAAACATTTGTTTCTTGAATTTTCTTTTGTTGAAAATTCATTGAATTGTAAATAAATGAGTACTATATCAATAAAAAATATGAGTCTTTGTTACCATGATTATTGTGCATAGTTTAACAACACAAATAAATCAATAGATAATGTAAGCATTTTATGAAATGGTAGATCCTATTAAAAAAGGAAAAGGGAAGAAAGTGTAGGGAATTCTACAGTTCAGGGGTGCTTAGCTAAAAGCATACATTTTCTTTCTGAAAGTTTGGGTTTGGGGGCCTTCACTTACATTGTCAAGGAAGGTCTCAAACATCTGTATTCCAATCATCCTCCTGCTTCAGTCTCCTGAGTGCTGGGAATATAGGTGTGTACTGTTATGACATTTACTTATCTGATCATCAGGTCATATTTTAGTATTTTATATGATACTGGTTAGTAAAGGTTATGCTTTTAAAATTAACTGTGCCAAATAATATTAAAATAATTTCATTTTAGGAAATTACTTATCTCAACTTTAAAACCACAAAATTATCCAGGTAGGACACAATTAGACAATTTGAGATTTTAAAAGATTTATGTGTGTCTCTGAGGACATGAACAGATGTGTCCAGGTGAGCACACCTGTGTGCACACCTGGAGGTCAGAAGAGGACATCTAGTGTTTTTCCCTATCACTCTCCACTTAGTCTTTTGAGGAAGGCCTTTCCCTGAACCTTGGCTCATGTTTTCTCAACTAGGCTGGAAGCCAGAAAGCCTGAGATCTTCCTGTCTCTCATCCCTCAGAGTTGGGGCTACAGGCATGTGCAGGATGCCCAGCATGTTAGGTGGGTGCTGAGATCTGAGCTCTGGGCCTCATGACTGCACAGCAAGCACTCTTAACCACTGAGGCATCACTCCAGCCACCAATTTCATATTTCTGAAAGTATATTTCTATAAACATTCTTAGTGAAAAATATGAACCTTATTCTCAACTAGATTGTTACATGTCCCACCTATATCTCCATTTAGCTTTATTCTAAAGAGTAGAAAAAACACTGACAAATTATGAGTCATAAAAGTTGATTTTTTTTGGGAGGGACATCCTTTTACATTATAAATATAAATATTTTATTCCTGATTCATGAGTTTATGAAATGTTGGCTTCATTATGAAATTACATGATAATTGTACTGTACAACTATCTGAGAACATTTCTCTTAAGACTAAATATTAGAAATGCATGTAAACAAAAAATCAAGTTAGAAAATCCAAAATTACCCTGTGAAATATAAATGTAAGCTTCTCTCTGCTAGTTGTGATATGCTAAACCAGCATTGCTGATCACCTAATTATCATTAAAGCCTTGGCTGTTCACCACCCTCCAGGCCAGTGCTCAAGGATCACTGGAGTGTGGTCAGCAATCTGCAGTGGTAGGCGTTTCACTCCTCACTAATTCAAAGCAGAAGCAACATGTCAAATATTGGGGTCCTATATAATATTCTGTCCAAAAGCTAAATTTTACATCTTAAAAAAAATTACAAAAATCCTTATCAAGGGAACTAAGATTTAATAGAAAAAAATCTCATAAATTTGTTACTTCTTTCTCCCTTTAAAAAACTGGCCAGGTTTAAAAAAAAATACTGAGGGGGCTGGAGAGATGGCTCAGCGATTAAGAGTACTGACTGCTGATGCAAAGGACCTGGGTTCGATTCCCAGCACCCACATGGCGGCTGACAACTGCCCATAACTCCAGTTCCAGGGGAATTCAACACCCTCTTCTGATTCCATGGGCATTGCACAACATGGCTGCACTTACACATATGCAGGCAATGCACTCATGCACACAGAATAAAAATATTACCAATAAAACAACAATAACAAAAACCTACTATTTTGAAATGTCTTTCCTCATTATTCTACTAAGATACTGCAGGGTACATGTCACTTAACTTCAGATCATACTACCTGCTCCAAAAGCTTTAAAACAGTATTTAAAACAAACCCCATGTTGACAAAACGTATTTGAATCAATGTTGATTAAAACAAATTTTAAAGCAAGTTACTAAATTTAGCTTAAAAGAAAATTCCTTGAGTTCAAAGACAACACTTTTCTTCATATTCAATTTTCCTGGAAAAGTGTCACCAAATGTTTGAATGCATTTGAGGGGAAAGGAGTGAAGTGTAGGATGTGAGCTGGCCACCTAAAAAGATAGAATGTGGGCTAGAATAAATGGTTGTACAATTTTCTATGAAGAAAGGCATGTTTTAAGCAAAGGCTTAAAGAGGAATGGCAAATGTTTGTTTTGTTGGGACACTCACAGGTCTAAGACATCAGGGTGTGAACTTAGGCTGTAATCAGATAAATAAGGTTTTCAACACCAGAGGAAGGACTAGGCTTTTTTTTTTTTTTCCTGTAAAAAATAAGCACTATTGAGTCCCATAGAGGATTCCAGAGATACTGCATGGGCAGAGTGTATAGAACTTGATAACTGAATGAAAACAACACTGGATTAAAGATAGAGGAAGCAAAGAAGAGGCTAAAATGGTTGAGACTATCACGAGTCAAGAGAATTAAGTGTTTCCACTTCCAAAATTTCAAAACATAATCAAAATACTGACATCAATTTTATTTTTCATGCTAAAATTTTTATGTTTTATTTTTTCATACATAGTTAAAGAGTAACAGATACAACTGAATTTTAAAAATAGCATTTGGGGGCATTTCTAATCCCTTGCTACTATCATAAGCATGTTTTCTTACATGAGGAGCAATAAGAGCTATAATTACAGAACTGTTAAAATAGCAAATTGAATAAATGTACCATGACAGAGGCCACTAAAAAAAAAGTATGCAGAATATATTTCACATTCTATAGCCGCAGTTTTAAGGGTTAGAGTTTAGTCATCATTCATATAATCAGCAAGCATCCCATATTTTCCAAAATCTTTAAAAATTTTGTTCTAAAAGACACTAGAAAACACACGGGTATGGTAGCTGTAACTTTATGCCTGAAGCCAACTCCTATGTAATAAAATCCTGCATCTGGTGCAGCCTGGCATTGCTGCACTTCACCCAAGGTGATGGAAAGAGGGAGGCAGTGCTTAAGAAGCACCGAACACAACTGATACCTGCTTCTCCCATACTTCTGGTTTCTAAAGTTCTAGGTAAAGTGGAGCATGCTGAACTGTCATAGTCTACATGATAGTATAACACCTTTCAGCCATTGGCCAATACTATTCCTTTTTGTTTTACGGTATACAAAATATCATGAAAGGATTTCTTAAGAAATGTGTTTAAGAACACATTTCAATTAATGTGATTAAATAGAAGGCGACAACTTCCTTCTGGAATAGTTAAGAGTTAACAATGAAAAGCTTGCCATACATTTGGATTAGTTTTTGCATTGTTTTGAGGGTCAAACACCAGCTGTATTATGTTCTTCAATTTAGAATGTGTGATAGACACGTGTCACAACAACTACAAATGAAATCACACTGACAGTTTAAAGAGTGTAAATCCATTTCTATTATTATAGTAACTATACCACTTTTGGTTTTATCCAAATTAAAAATCTATTTCAAAACGCCTCTTCGAAATATGCTTTCTAAGCAAGCGAAAAAATGCACAAATGTTAATTCCAATCAGAAACTGCAAAAGGTTTGATAGAAGTAGATCTGGGAACCACAAGTTAAATTTTTCATCCAAGTATACCACAAATACATTTTGTTTTAATCTAAAAATCACAAAGACATAATGGTTAAAAGGTTTTCATTCCACTATCTCAGATGCTTAGTAATTTTTCTTAACATACAAAGTCTAATTATACAAAAAGGAAGAAACAAGAGTAGTTCTGAGATGTACTTGAGCCAAGCAGCTGCTGCTTTGTAGTGATCTAAAAACCTCTATCTGATGACATTATGGTTTAACTTCTGCTTATAAACTAGTAGCATTTAGTTTAATTCACATTGATTATCAAACAAGATTGATAATGTATTTGAAAATTTAAAAATGTTCATCTTTTAAAAAGTATCTGACTAAAACAATTTTCTTAAATAAGACGTAATCATCATATAAAGAACCACTGGTTTTAGGTAGTTTAAAAGACAAACATATTGAAGACAGTTGACAACATGTCCGGCAATGAAATATCCAGAATTATACAGCTATGACAAGGCTAAGAACCACAAAGGATTCATCGTGGCCGAATTTCAAATCTCCTAACACGTGACTTTTACTGTGCTTTGGCAGTCACTTCCTCCCTAATTTTACATTGCACTGTCATCTCCAAAGTGCCAATCAGAAGATCTGGTGTTGCACTTTCATATTCATTTTTAGAAAAAATAATTACCTCATTAAACTCATGCAAACAAGAATAAGAAAACTGTTGTACACAAATAAAATGATGGTCATTAACTGTGTTAACTGTTGCCACAGTAAAGATGGTCTTTTAGCAATTTCAAGAAATTTATCTACTAATTTGCATATTGTATTCCAAACTTCAAATATAATAATTTATCTTATTTGTAAATAATTCACACTAACATTATGTCAGTTTGATCTTTATTGAAATGATTAAGGAGTATTACATGTTAACACAAAAATGAAACTAGATTTTGCTCAAGTACTCTACATTGCTCAATCTACTTTTTAAAATATTTCAAATATTTCAGGTAGCAACATATGGCTAGCAAAATCTTAGTCCTAGAGCACTGATTTTTTATTGTCAGTATTAACTTCATGAACTTTTCTTCTAATTCTTTTTACATTTATTTGTGTCGTGGGGGGGTGTGCATGTGTCATGTTGTACATGTAGAAGTCAAAAGGAATAGCTTGTAGAAGTCAGTTCTCTCCTTTAAGGACATGGTTGCAGGGATTGAACCCAGGTCATCAGGTTTGGTGGCGAGCACCCTTATCCTTTGAAGTACCTTGCTGGTCCCTTCTAATTTTTAATCATACTAACCTGAGTTACAATGGACTTCTAGTGAATATTTTAAGTGACAGAGCACAGATTTGGGAGACAGAGAACCTAGTTCTGGTCCCAGTGAAACTATTTACTAATATGTAATTCTAAAGCAAGTCCTTCAGTGTCTCCAAGTTTCTTGCCCTGCTAGAAACTCATGGGAGAAAACAAATGAAAGAGCTCTAGAAAGAGCCAGGGTGCTATTTACACAGTATCAACCCACACAGGCTTGTTACAGTATTGGACTGGTTTAGAATGACACGGCTTTTGAAAAATTTTTATTTTTATTTTATGTGTATGAGTGTATTGCTTGCATGTGTGTAAGTGCACCCATGTCGTCCAATGCCTGAAGAGGTGGGAAGAGGGCACTGAATACCGTGGAGTGGAAGTTAAGGTAAAACTGAAACTTATTTCTGAAAGCATGAGAGTGATGCTAAAGCACCATCATCATGTGTCTGGGGCATTCTGAGCACACTTATAAAAACAGATTAACACCAATTCTAGCTCCTTTCCAGAAACCATGCTGGACACTGACCTAAGGAAAGTTAAAAGCCTCAGTCATTTCTCCAGATTTTATATGGCTATATTTGGCTTCTCCAAAATAAGTTTTGTAGTTTTAATGATTTATGGCCTGCCATGTTCTAGGATCATTTGGGAGTTATTTGATTCTCTTTGAAAGGAGTTATAGGCCATTTTTATTTCTATTCTATTGGTCATTTACTTGTTTTAAATTCTACTTTTTTTTAAATGACTTAACTTTATTGAAACTAGATGTAACTAAATGAGTGAAGAAAGAATATGTAAACTTAAGTCACCAGGAGCAAAGGTCCTGCACTCTCCTGTATCTTCAGGTGTCCTGCACATGCACTCTAGAAACCACAGGCACAGGACTTCATTTATACCATGCAGTCTTCTACAACTAAAATACACAAAGCAGAAGCATAAGAATTGATTATCATATGTGCCATATCTAAAAAAAGGTTGATTCTGAAGAAATAAACAGATGGCGACTTTTTTGTACATGTAATAAAGCAGGAAATCAGAGAGGGGGAAAAATCATAAAAAGATGTCCTTAACATTTTTTGGGTTTTCATATAGAAGATCACTAAAATATTCTAATTCACCAGGTAAATGTGAAACTACAATGGTGACTGGTCAGGTAAGATGACAGACCTACAACCATAAATACCAGGGACTTCTAAAGTAACAGTATTAGAAATTTCTAGGTAAAATGGAATCTAGATGGCTCAGAGACATAAGTCTTGTCAGGGAGAGAATCATGGAAAATGAGACTGACTTGAAAAATGTAGGCAGAACTGATACCCAGAGAAGTGTGCAGCTTCAAGGAGAATGGAGGAATCAGAGTACTTGGCAGACAAAAAAAATCAAAACAAAGACTGGTTTGACAAAATAAATAAATGTAAAGGGATAACCTGGGTTTAATAGGAAAGACAGTTAATTTAGCATTGGTTAAGGAATGCCTAGTTATGTGAGATAATACAGTACAAAAGCTACGGGAAGATATGAGTGTGCTTAAAGGGTAGAACTATACCACTAAAATTCATGGTTTTAGTTGAGAGAAGACTGATAATGAGCTATATACCACTACTAAGTCAGGCACTTGGGTATGGGAGACAGAAAACCTGATATTTGTTGTAAGAAAACAGAAACTAATCTAGTATCATACTCAGCTCCTGTCTTAGTGCTATGTATTTAAGAGTCCTTAGAACTTGGTGGATGAATAGGGAAAATGACCTCATGGCAAACGACACTGAAATATAAACCAGCAAGGTGAACATATCAGTCACTATACTTGAGGACAATTTAGATGAAATTAAAACTGAAAGCAGAATCCTTACACAACTGCTAGAAGCATCAAATCAATATGATGTGCAAGTGATTAAATTTGCAAAAGCATAATATAGGCTTTATTTTGATATAACCACCAGTATTTAATGAAAGGATTTCTTGAATAATTTGTAGCAAAAAATAATTTCCTTCCCTAAACGTTCATAAAATTGATGATTAGATACCTAATCATTATGAAAAGTGTCTACGTTATACCAAAAACAACACAAAAAGTATCAAAATTTTTTATTTTACCTCTATTTTATGTCAGATCCCAAATGTAATTAGAACCTAATAAGAAACTTTATAGGTTTCTGGGTTTCATTTTTTTAATTTTATTTATTTTTATAAGCAATTTGCTTTAATTTGGAATCTGTACCACTTTATTCTATATTTATCAAAGCTGTATAAAAGCCATGCTGTTTATTTACAATATTGTACAGTAAAGGGATATGTTTGAAGATCACACAAAAAATTCACAAAGCTACAACTACTGTGGAAAGACACATAAAATATATTCTTACTTAGAGGTTCTTAAAAATTTTAGGAACAGAATTTTGAAAAGATTATTTTGGTTGGTCACCATTATGCAACTGCTAGCCAGAAATAAACACAGACAAAAACATGCAAATGAGTGGGATTCCAACATATTAAAGGCTAAAAACATGTAGCTATAAGCTAAATTATCATGTGGTTGAAAAGCTATCATGTACCAATGGGAATTTATAAAACAGGTTCATTTTTTAAAGTCCTCCATGAATAACAGGCTCTCAGTAATTTTCTAAAAAAAATCTTCAGAAGCTGGTTTTCAAATTATGTTCATGACCAAAATATGCTTTCAGGAGAGTTATGGATGAAATCTATGACTTTTATATAATTTTTTATTATACTACAGAGGAAGTCTCAGTTTTTTCTTTTTGGGGACAGAGGGCAGAAGAGAGTTAATCAGTTAATTTACATTCAAGTACAAGACTCCGGTACAAGTGCATCATTCACACAGAATGGATGGTGCAGTAACAGCATGACCACAATCCTTTAACTGAACTCTTGAAACACAAGTGTAAACTTTAGGTCTGTTCAATTTAAAATATCCTATAAGGAAGTACTTCCGCATGGACTGGAAAATATCTACAGTGATTCATCTGCTCTAATTACATGTCCTTCAGACTTTACTGCTGAGGCTGAAGGACATTTAGATACTCAGACTGCCCCAACTGGTAAGTCGTGTTCCTTCCACAGTCAACATACTGGTACCTCTCCTGGGATATTTGCTCAGAGTGGCCAAAGTATGTTGTTGTTACAGTAACTCTGAAAATGAAACAAATTGGAGAGAAATGTTCAACAGTTATATTAAAAGGTTTTCCATATTAGAATACTGTTAAATATAAAAAAAAATTCTCCCAGGTCAGATTATTTGAGGCTAATATTAACATAAATACGTATCTCATAAATGAATTAATAGCCTAATATTCATCACTTATTGTGGTTAGAATTATTACTTATTATTTGACATTAATAATGAAAATATTATAAGCACAGGATTCTTTGGGATTATTTCTCTAATGGACCCAAAAATGCTAGCTAAGGAAAACCTACCCAATAATTAAATGTTTATACAAAAATGACATATATTCTAAATATTATTTTAAAAATTGTTATCTTGAGTTAAAAATATAGTTTCTTACATGCCTAAAAATAATCATATAGTTTCCTTATCATAGGAAAATTAAATGTCAACCAATGGCCAAAATATCAAACATAATGAATAATATTTTATACATTTAAGTAAAACCCAATTTATAAACTCAAAATGTTATTTGTCCTCATCACTACTGAGCTCAATTATCAGGGCAGCTCAGTCCTCTCTGTGCTAACCCTCCCGTTCCCTGAGCTCCCAAAATGCCAGCAACCAGATTCCAACTAGCTAAGCAAAAAAATATTTACACAGTCACACAGCACTCTTGTAAGACTTGTAAGACCCAGCTATAATGGCATTTATAAAGTATTACTACAAAACATTAGCAATTAAAAATTTTCACAAAAATATCTTTTCAAATAGAAGCCCCATACTTACTGCATCATGAGTACTATGTTGTGTACTTTGATGGATATCAGTGTGCAGAAGTCACTGTTAAAAAATTAAATACATTATCACATTAGCAATTCAAAATTCTGTTAAACCTAATACTGAGTTTTGTTTGGTTTAGAGTTTTTTTCCCCCTTGGACTGTGTATCTGTATGTTGCGTATAATGGTCTCAAACTCGTGGGCTTGAACAGTCTTCCCCATCTCAGCCTCCTTAAGTAGCTGAGACAACAAGCACATGTCACTGTGCCTGGAAAGACAGCATTAAGGATATATAAATATTTATGACTTCTTACTCTAAAAAGATCTATGCATTCACGCCCCTGAACTTTCAGGGTCTTGTTTTTTTGTTTTGTTTATTTTTTTCACACTGGGTCTCCCTATAGCCCCAGACAGTCTGGAACTCACTATGTAGAGCAGACATTCGCCTGCTTCTGCCTCCCAGTACTGGGATTAATTTGTGCCACCACGCCTGGCTTGGGTTGTAGTTTTAATGTGTGCTGTGTGCTACAAATGAATTATATTTTTGCTCATTTTAAAAATTTTTAGTAAGCAGGAATTCCGCATCTAGGTTTACATCAAAAGATGGTGAAAATGTATAGTTATTTTTATGTAAGAGGAGTGAATCACATGAATCCAATTAAAATGCTCCAGGGGATGTGGTTCCTAGAGTCAGATGGCAGATTAGAAGCTTCTTCTGTGCAGTGACATGAATGAAAAAGGTAACAAAGGTAAGACTATACTCCTTGGTCAGCAAAGAGTATCAAGAACATGGGAGGGGTATTAGAACAGCTGAAAAGTACAGAGAAACAGGAAGGCAATACAGAGAAAACTGGGAACTAGCTGTGACTTCAAAGGAGGCTAGAGGAAGCAGATAAAGGGCAGTCAGTCATCCCCAGTGACCAGACACTGGCAGGCCAACCAGAGAAGCTCACAATTCTCCCAAGCCTTAAATTCACTGTGGAGATTTGGTATGACAAGTGACTCATCCTGCAGGACAAGCCAGCATTGAAGACATCCATTTTGGTGCTTCCCATGCCTTGAAGTGCCATAGCTGGGGGCCATCTTAAGAGGGAGTTGATTGTTTGGGATTAAGCTACTCTAGGAATCAGAAAACAGGGAACAACTGTAAGTCAAGGAATCTAGGAATATCTTACCACAGCCTGGAAGCCTCCTGGAGAGAGGGAGAACCACACACCAACCTACTGAAAAACTTAAGCAGCAGGGAGCTTAGGGTGTTGGGGGCATGATGGTCTGTGGACCCGCTTTTGGTGGAAGGATTGAGCTCCATCACCCAGGGACAGCTGCTGAGACTGACAGCACTAGGCACAAGGCCCTTGTATTGCTGGGCCTCTGGAGTTACCGTCCTGCCATATGTGCTTTACTCTCAGGGAGGAAAGAGTTGAGTCCAGGAAAAACGGATTACTTGATTTCTCAAGGCTCCTGTCTCCTGCCAGATGGCTACTGCTCCATAGGTTTGAAGCACTGAGAGGGCAGGGAAGAACACTGGGTTCCTGTGGGTCTCTCTTCCAGTACAGATATATTGCTGTCTGCTTCTCCCACTCTCCAGCTCTGGAGGACACTCCTAGGCTTGGACATTTGTAGCCCCATGGTACACAAATGGACCTATGAGCAAGTGAGAACTTGCCTGACCCAAAGGCCAAAAAGCACATTGGAGCCAGCAGTGGCTTCAACTAGACAAGCTTCTACAGCGAATGCTGCTGACATCTGACCCTGGCTGGTCTTGGCCATCAGCTCACATATAACACCCCTTTGCATAGTAAGAACCACTACAGACTCTTCCTACAGCTCACTACTCGACCCTCACCATTCTAAGTGGCGGATGCCAAAAAATATTTTTAGTATAGTTTTTTACTTTCCTTTTTTTTTTCAAACAGGATCTCATTGAAGTACAGGCTGCTACAAAACTCACTATGTAGTTCAGTCTGCCCTCAAACTCACAGCAATCCTCATACCTCAGCCTTCCAAATGTTGGGATTACAGGTATGAGCCATCACACCTAGCAGCTTTACTGTTCTTTTCATTTTGATTATTTTTATTTTCATGTGCATGAACGTTTGGTCTGCATTTATGTAAGTACATCTGCACATGCAATGCCTGAGGAAGTCAGAGGAGCATGTCAGATCCCCAGGAACTGGAGTTATGGACAGTTGTTAGCCATAATGTGGGTGCTGGGAATCAAACCTGGGTCCTCGGCAAGAGCGGTCAGTGCTCTTAACTGTTGACCCATCTCCTTAGTTTCTAAAATATGTGTCTGTGTGTCTACTGAGTGTGTGTGGGTACCCACGGTCCAGAAGGCGGGCTTGGATCCCCTGTAGAGGGAGTTGCAGGAGGTCACATGTGAGCTACCTGACACAGGTGCAAGCTGAACTCGGGTCCTCTAGAAGAGCAGCAAGCACTCAGCACTAGCTGCAGCTACCCCTCCAGCTCCTGTATTTTTAAGAAGTTTTAGGTTTTTATTTTTTATTTCTCTCCTTACCTCAATCTAATCTGTTTTTTATTTTATACTCTTAATCCCTTGTTCTTGTTTTCCTTGTACTCTTCTTTTGTAGCGTCCCTTCTGACCTTTCCTTTACCTCATTCATTCATTCCTGCTGCTGCTTTTTCAATCTTTCTTTTTTTTTTTTTATTTTCTGAGACAGGGCTTCCCTAGTAGCCCCAGCTGGACTTGATCTCACAGAGGTCCAGCTGCCTCTGCCTCCCAAGAGCTAAGATTTAAGGAATGTGCCACCATGCCCAGCAATATTGCTTATTTTCTTAATTTTAACTTTATACTTTATTCTACACTATCTTTGTCATTCTCTTTCTGTGTTACTAGTAGCAGTAAATACACATAGATAAGAGCATAAGAAAGAATGAATCTCACTAGAACAGATAAAGGAGAAGTAAGAAGAAATCAAATATCGACATGGTATAACAATAAACTTCTAAGACAAAACAGAGAAATTTGTTGAAATAATTCAATAGTAACCTAAATGCTAGTGATCATAAATCTCTAAGTAAAATATAAAGACTGACTAAATAGATTAAAAATCAGGACCCACTGGGTGCGGTAGCTCATGCTTTTAATCCCAGCACTTGGGAGGCAGAGGCAGGCGGATCTCTGTGAGTTCAAGGCCAGCCTGGTCTACATAGTGAGTTCCAGGACAGCTAGGGCTACATGGAGACCCTGTCTCAAAAAAAACAAAAAAAAAAAAAAAAAAGAAAAAGAAAAAAAATCAGGACCCAACTATTTACTATTTATAAAAAACTCAACTCATTGGCCAAGATATGCATAGACTAAAAGTGAAGGACAGAAAGCAAAATTCTAAGTGAGCAGACTCTGGAAGCAAGGTGCTATACTCATATCTGACAAAGCAAACTTCAAATGAAAATCAAGAGATAAAAAATGTAACTACATAATAAGGGAACAACCCATGATGATATAATGATTATAATGGGTGATTTTAATATCCCACTTTCATCAAGAGACAGATCATCCAGACCACACCTCCTCCAATAATACCAACAAAGAGATTTCAGAGTTAAACTGCACTTAAACCATAGATCAAGTTGACTTATATCTCCAAAATATTCCAGCCAATCCCTGTGGAATTCAACTGTTTCTTTTTGGTAGTAGCCTCTATGATTCTATGTAAAAAAAAAAAAAAAAAAAAAAAAAAGTTGTTCTTGGTTTTCTTGCTTTTTTTTTTTTTTTTCAGGGTCTCTAGTCCCAACATTCCTAGAAATCACTATGCAGATCTTGATCTCTCAGAGATCTACCTGCCTCTACATCCTGAAGGTTGGGCTCAAAGGTGTGCACCACCATACCCAGTGTTAAAACAGATCAATTTTAAGCACAAAATATGTTTTAATAAATGAAAGAAAACTGAAATAATTTATTATTAATTATCAAATCATAATAGAATAATAGAAGTCAACAGAAAGAAAAACTACTTAAATACAAGGTATAAAATAATACAGACTTAAGCCAGGCATGGAGGTACATACCTACAATCACAGCACTTGGGAGCTAGAGGGAAGATTAGCAGTTCAGGGCCAACCTTGACTACATAGAGAGTTCAAGGCCAGTCTGAGCTATGTGAGACCCTGTCTCAAAAACAAAATTAAAGACCACAAAATAACAACAAAAATAATACAGTTTTGAATGATTAGTCCTTCATTAAATAAGACAGGAAGGAAACTCTAAGTAAACCAAACCAAGCAGGAACAGCTCCACTCATATGTGACAAAGTAGACTTCAAGTCAGAATTATGTAAAGAAGGTCACTACATAATATGGAAGGGCACAGTCCATCAAGAAGAAGCAAATGAAAATAAAATACACACCTTATAAAAATGTTGGAGATATGGCAGAGGCACATCTAATAGTAAAGTTTATAGTTATAGACACCCACATTAAAAACTCAGAGACTGGGACTGGAGACATGGCTCAGTGGTTAAGAGCACTGGCTATTCTTGCAGAAGACCTGGGTTCAAATCCCAGCATCCACAGAGCAACCAACAACCATCCATAACTCTGGTTCCAGGGGATCTGATCCTCTCTTCTGTCCTCCATGGGCACTGCATGACATGGGTGCATTTACATACATGCAGGAATAACACTCATACACATAAAATAAATTTTTAAAAAATTTTAAATTAAAAAAAATCAACTCAGAGCTCTCCAGTAAATATCTAACAATATACTTCAAAGTCTTAGATAAATAAGATCTAACCAAACCCCAAATTAGTAGATGGAAATAATAATAAAGACCAATAGCAGAATTAGTGGAAAACAGAAGATCAGTAAAACGGATTGATAAACAAAGGGTTGGTTCTTCAAAAAGGTAAACAAGACTGTCAAAACCTTAGTCAAATAAGCAAAATGATACATAGAAAGACCCAAACTAATAAAACTAGGATGAAAAAGGAGACATTACGGATTCCAATAAAATCCAGATGACCATTAGGAAATATTTTTAAACATATTTCCAAAAATTGGACTACCCAGAAGAAATAGATAAATTCTTAGATGTATATGACCTACCACAATTGAGCCAGGAGGATAAAAACTACTTGAACAGGTCTATAACAAGCAATGGCATTGAAGTAGTAATAGAGAATCTTCCAAGAAGGAAAAGTCAATGACAGAACAGAGTCACTGCTGAGCTGTGAATGCCAATGCTCCTCAAACCATTTCACAAAATAGAAAGGGAAAAAAACGCTTTCAAATGCATATGAAGTCAGTACTACCCTGATCCCAAACCAGACAAGGACAGAACATAAAAGAAAACTACAGTTCTATTTCCCTAGTAAACATAGGACATAAAAATACTTGCAAAAAATTAACAACATATTAAAAATATCATATACAGGGATTCCAAGATTGTTCAATAGACTCTATAAGCTCTACCTGAAAATTCTTGGAGCTAATCAACACTTCCATCACAGCAGGATAGAAAAATTAGCATTAAGAAAAGTAAATCACTATGTGAGAAAGTTTTTTTAAAAAAATTCATAACAGTCTCAAAGAAAACAAAATATTTAATTAAGAAGGTGAACTCATCTATAATGCAATCTTTAACACACTGACACAATAAATCGAAGAAGGTAACAGAGTATGGATGAGCATCCTGTGTTCAGAATGAGTTTTGTGAAAATGGCATATTATTAAAAGTGATCTACTGATTCATTGTTATCTCCATCTAAGTTTTAATGACATTCTTCACAATGTAGAAGAGAACAAGACAGAACAGAACTAAACAGAACAGGACAGAAATGTCACAATGTCCCACAAAAGTACAAATGAAGCAAAACAAAGCAATGCTGAACAAAAAAGAGCAATGATGGATGTACAACAAAGATCTAATTTCAATAAGTTACAAAGCCATAACAAGAAAAAACAGCACAGTTCCATCAACACAACAAAAAGTACCCATGGCTGCATAAGATGTTGAGAATAAAGAACAGTTAAGATTGTTTCTTACACATTTACACCACCTCAAGGCCCATAGACCACTGTGGAAGAGTGGAAGAGAGGGCTGAAAGAGTACAAGATTTCCCTGATGGGGAGAGGAGCTGCTCTATGAAACACCATTTTCTAACAAGGATGATGCCACGGCAATCACAAACTCAAGCAGTTGTTCTTACTGGCACTATGTCTACAGAACTCAGGCCCTCCTAACAGTTAGCTATAGAGGGGGGCAGGGGACTCACTAGTGACCTGTTAGCAACCAACAGATTCTGGGGTGGGGGACATGGTATCAAGCTGTGTAACCACTAGTGAGCTCACCAGGCTCTGATGGTTAATTCTAAACTCAGAATCACAGAGACAGCCCTGATTAAACACTATGGGACACTAAACAAAACCAAAACTAATAAATAGGGGAAAGACATTAATGGGGGGGGAGTAGAGAAATGGGACTGTGTGGGGGAGAGAGGGACCAGAATACACAATGGACATGTGCGAAACTCTGAAAGAACTTTATTAATTAAAAAAAAGAGAGGAGAAAAAAAAAAAAAAAAGAACTGACCAATGGAATTGCATAAAATTAAAAACTTCTGCACAGACAAACAAACAACAAAGAAGAACTGCCCTAGCCTACAGAATGGAAGAGTATCTTTGCCAGCTTCTCATCTAGCAGGAAATCAATATCTAGAATAAAGAACTAAAAAATGCAAATTGAAATAATAACCCAATCAATATATAACTAAACAAAAGGCTGAGCTCTCAACTCTCCATTATTCTCCAATCTTGTGTAGCCATAGGTCTGTGTGGGGGTGTTTTCAGAGATACAAATAGTAAGTACAGCTAAAAGTGTTCAAGATCTTTAGCTATTAGAGAACCAAAAATGAAAACTACATTGAGATTTTTGTCTTACTCCAACTCTGAATGGTCATTGTCACAAAAATATACAATAATTGTTGGCCAGGGTGTAGGAATGTGGTAGAGGGTACCTTAACACACTGTCAGTGGGAATGTAAATTTGTGCAACTGCCATGGAAATCAATATGATGGTTCTTCAAAAAGCTATAAATTGAACTAACACATAATCCAACAATATCATTTCAGGGTATATATCTAAGGGAATTAAATTGAACACATAACAGAGATATCTACACTCCTGTTTACTGTGGTAATAGTCACAGTATCCAAGTATGGAATTCGTCTAAATGCTGTTCACCAGATGAGTGGCAAAACTATATTGGCAGTAGATGAAATTTTATTCAATTATAAAGAACAAAATTATGTCATTTTTAGGAAAATGAATGGAAATAGATTACTAGATTAAGCAAAATAAGCCCGACTTAGAAAAACAAGTGCCACATGTTTTTCTGTCCTATGTGGAATCTCAATTTTTTTTTTAAAAAAAGACATAAAAGCAGAAGGTGGACTATTTGAGGAGGAGGAGACCCATGGGACAGGTGGGGGGAAAAGAAGGTACAGTGGTTAACTATGATCAAAGTACATTACATACATGTAAGAAAATGTCACAATGAAACCCACTATTTTGTACAATCGATATAGTCCTTAAAATTTTTCAGAACTTCAAGTCAATAATGGAGAATTTTTATACACTAAAATGAGGTTATTTTAACTGTTAAGGTTATAGAAATTTTTTAACAACCCAAAAATATTCATTATGCTTTATTACTTAAGAATAGAGTTATTAAAAGTTAAAACTTACTACATGTAACTCATTTCCTCTGCAATAACTGTAGGTACTGTATAATCAATCTGAAAAACAAAAAAGTAAAATAAAATATAAAGGAAAAAAATGAATAGTGAATAGTATCTAAAAACTCTAAAAACCGGGATCAATGTCAGAATCTTGTAAGAATTAGAAGTCTCTCCTTTGAGGAGCTTGGATCTAAAATTTTTTATTATACCTCTATGGTATACATCATCAAGTCAAGTCTTTGAGGAAGTCCCCCATCTCCCTTCTACGATTCAATATTCAAGGTAAAAACCCATTGAGCTCAGCCACACCGCCTCGGGAATGAGGCTTACCTGCTTCATATCAAGTGGACCAATGTTAGTTATGTTGTTTAATCGTGCCTTTCCAATAACTGTTTTTGAAAACTGAACTTGAGCAGTGATATTTTCAACTTCAACGGAATAATAGTTATTATTCGTTATATTTAGTGTGTTCTGCAAAAGGAAGCAAGAAACACAAAATGTCTTTAAATAAACATACAAATATACACTCAAAATTAATATGCAAAATTTACCTGTGACTATGACTCATTTATTAGGAAAAAACATAAAATGTCAAAGAAAATTACTGGATTTTATGAATGAGAGCTATATGTATAATAAAAACATAATTTAAAAAATTTTAAAGTAGACTCAAAATATATTACATAGGAATACGGGAACGTAAATGCTAGAAAATATATCTGTGGCTTTAGCAAGAGTTAAATAAAAGTAATTTTTAATTTCATTTAAGTGTTTACCCTTATTATATACACTTCTCTACCAATAGTACTTGAAAACATTTTTTAACAACAACATAACTTTTTTTTTTTTTTTGATACAGGGTCTCATGTAGCCCAATTGGCTTTGAACTCACTAGGCCACCAAGGATGACCTTGAATTTCCAATCTTCGTACCTCCACCTTCAGAGTAGAGTGCTTCTGAGACAGGCATGAACCATACCTGGCAAAGGGGATTGAACCCAGGTCCCTGTGCATGCTAGGCAAGCACTCTACCAACTTAGACACATTCCCAGATTATTTAAAGGAAACTGGCATTTTAATTTACATGCTTGTAAAGATTTATACTGGATCGATACAGAGAAGAAATGTGTTTGATTCAGGTCTGTTTGGTTTGACAGAAATGTTGGTTTCAGTATTTCTGTATTTGACAGCTGCATTTTATTTATTTATTACTTTACAGACAGGGTCTCACTACATAGCTCAAGCTGGCCTCCTTTCAATCTTTCTCTCCAACCCTATGCATTGTTAGTATCACAGGCACATGCTGGCATGCCCAGCTTCAGCTTCTGCATTTTCAATCTACAACTACTGTCTCAAGTTATTTTAGAAAACAATCAATGAAAAAAAATTCTCATATAGGAAGTGTAATGTGATCTCAGCTGAAATGTATATGAGTGCATGGGTATATACACACATAAACACGTGTGAGATTGATTACACATGTAAATGTACATGTAGGCTGATAAATATGCATTGTTGGTACTGTTAACAGTTAAATTTTCACATTCGGCATCAAACTCTATGTATTACAGGAGTTTTCAAGTATCTATTAACAATAACTAAGTATTAAGGACAAAGCCAGTAAGTGTTACTGTGACATTCTGATGCACATCTTGGTTTTCAACTAAAGTTCCTGGCTGATAACTCCCAGGAATAATAAGGTTAAAATAGTTGGTTTTTAATGTTTCCTTCCTGAAATCCCTGCCCCAAGCTTTCCTGATAAAATAGAAAGTATTCTGTTAATGTTGGTGTTCCTCAGAACACAAACCTGACTTTCTCCTGTCCTTTATTCATGTTTTTTTTTGTTGTTGTTGTTCCTAAGGAAGGTCTCAGAAACTAGAATTTTTCTTACCCAAAACTAGTCATGGACACTAAATGTACACTCTAAACTTACTTTGTCTTTCTGAGAGCTGCCAAAAAGAAATTCCCTGATTATAGTGGATCATAAGATGCCCTTTAAGAAGGACTGCCTCATATCCAGGATGAAGGGATGTTGCCCAAGAGGCCAAGTCTGGACACCCAGTTTTTTTTTTTTTGCACTGGATCAATGTGGTTTTCTTCCAATTATACACTTGGCCACCCTTCAATCATACTGATTCAGCTAACTCCATAAAAGCTAAAAAAGACAGGGCTCAGGGCAATATTGAGAGCACAGCCCAACTCCACAGGGACTAAAGCCACTGCTCTCTGTCCTACCCCCACTCTATCCCTTCACCTGGCCATGGATCTGTATCCTTTAAAATCTCTTTAATAAACCAATAAATATAAGTATAATGTTCTCTTGAATTCTGTGAGCTACTCAGGCAAGGTAATTGAACCTAAGTGGGGGGCTTGTGGGAATTCCAACTGGTAGTCTACTGGAAGTCTGGGAGGCTCAAACCTGAAACTGGCATCTGAAATGGGAGGCAGGCTACTAGGACTGAGCCGCCACCCTGAAGGTCAGAGGCTAAGTACAGGTGGGTAGTTTCAGAAGTGAAGGGACTTAGAGGGCACTAGCTGGTTTCTCCTGCAGAACTGCCAGCCTGATACTAGAGGTCTGGGGAGTCCCCATATAGTCTTAGTTACTGAAAAAGGAAGTACTATACTAGTTATGTTGCAGGCTCCTGTGACCAAGCAATGGAAAATGCAACTTAAGGAGGGAAGGGTTTATTTTAGCCTCTGGTTCTAGGGGATACAATCCATCACTGAGGAAGAGGCATGGTGGTAGGAGCTTGAAGCAGCTGGTCACATGGTTAATAAGCAGAGTGATGAATGTTGCTGCTTAGCTTGCTTTCTTTCTGTATTCAGTCTGGGACCTCAGCCCATAAAACGGGACTGTCCCCAGTTAGGGCAGGGGAAAGAGCAGTATAATTCTTCTTTCAAGGTGGTGTAAAAGAACCCTTCAGCTTACCATATACAGTCCTATCAGTTTTTTACTTCAGTGTCCTTTATTGAAGTCTAATGTTCATCTAAATAGCAAACCTATTTCTCACCTAATGTTTAGTATTATGAGGAAAGAGCCAAATAAAGTGAGCATCCCTGCATAATTACTTAAAATAGAGTATGATATTCTTATTTAAATACATTACCTCGTACTTAGAAGGAAATGATACCAGACTTTTTATTGCTACACAGTATTTGATGATATTAACATAGGTTTTCAAGCAGGGCCAAAAATACTATGCAAAAAGAAAAACACCTTCCATATTCTAGAGAACTGCTGAAAGGGGACAATATGCTGCAACAGCTATTTTCCAGTTATACAACATTATTTATAATTAGCATTGTGCTATGAATCTTTACTCACATATCAATGTTCCTAGATGTCGATTAAGTGATTTTGTTTTAGGAGACAAGGTCTCCCTCAGTAGCCCAAGCTGGTGGTGATCTCAGGACCCTTCTGCCTCAACTTAACGGTTAACTGTTGATAGTAAGCAATGAGGAATAATGCCTGTTGTGTGAAGATTTTATTTCCTATAATTAAGTGGTGATCCCACTTTAACATACCATTCCCTTTACCTGGCTCCTCCCAAACTCTTTCTTTCATATCCCATCATCACAGGTATCTTCTGTGAAGAAAACCAACTACACCCACAAGCACTCTCCCAGACCACAGCATACACTGGGCCTGAAGCCATAAATGACTACGGGGACTCAGACTCATAGATTCATCGCTTCTAAAGCAATAGCAAATCATGTTCTTCTTACCCAAATGCTAATGTGTAAAATGTAGGTAGATCTTCCCTGAAGTTTTTGCTTGTTTTTAAAGTTAGGAAGCTGCACAGTTCTTTAAAAATATATATATTTGTGGCAAACCCAGAGGCCATTTTCACATGTTCTAGCTTATAACAATCAGGTCATCACTTCAACTCCATCTTTAAACACAATTAAAGAAAGATCTCTTTAAAGTGACACAATTTTTATTTCATAAAATGCAAAATGTTATATTTATAGCATCTATTGACTCAAGTAAGCAGTTTGCAGAGAGGCTCGCTGCTATATGATGAGAAACACCTGTGTTAACACCTTGTTAAGAACTAGAGCCAAGTGTTAAAAAGTAAATTGACTCTAATTTTTTTTTTTTTTGCCAGAAATTCTTAGTTGATCTTACTCTCCTAAAGACATCTTCAGATGTTAAATGATTCTGTATACACACAACCATCATAAGATAAGACTCACTTTCTTGGCAGAACCAGAAACAGCAGAAGGGTCAATACAGCAAAGCCACATGAAATGTGCGGCAGCAGGGGACTATGAACAAGCAATCTCTGGGCAGGCTTGAGAAGGCTGCCAAACAGCACAAAGGGTGGGGTCCAGCACTCTCATAGCAAATGTGCACTTACCGTGATATTTAAATATATTGTGCGCTTTTCAAAATCGTAACTGACATAGGCTGATTTTACGCCAATATACTTCACATCAATAGAGCGAGGGAAAAGGAAAAACACAGCTAATCCCGACAGGAGCAGGCAGACAAACACAGATGCCATCACATACAGCTTTCTGAAAAGAAAAGGAGAGCACTTCAATACATGTGCATCAGCACTTACGGCATTTAAGGAAGGCATTTTCCACCTGAATTCTTCTTCCACATATACCAGTAAGAAAAATATGTTTAATTTTACCAAATTTTCACATTCTAAAACTATGAGGTAAGGTTAATCTTGAGTCTATTAAGGGGTAATATGATCTCCTTAGAGGATGAATTTTCATTCTTGAAGAGTGGGACTTCAGGCTTATAAGAGGACATATACAGGACTAATATTCATCTAGACTTGACATTAGAATCAATCTTGGGACCTTTTACAAATACAGGATTCAAAGCTTCCAGGTGAATTCACCGGAGAAGAGTTTGCACAGAGGCTCACTGTTGTGTGATGAGAAACACCTGCAAAGCTCTTCACTTAGGACATAAACACAGGACTCTCCAATGTCGATCTAAAAAGTATTTTTTCATCAATTCAGCTTTGAAGATGCTATTCTATTTTGTGTAACTGAGGAAAGAAGTAATATTAGGCAGGTATGAGACAAAAATAAATGACCTATATGGCTTTGCTATCCTCTTCTCTGAAAAGTATCTTTTTTCTTTCAGGATTAAACTCACAAATTAGTTTCAAATTTCTTGATCTCTCTAATATACTGCCCTCTGCTAGAAGCCTGCAATCTGAATCCTGCATGATTCATCTGCTTAGTCTAGCCAAACACAGGGCTTCATGCTATCCTTTGCTCTCTCTTTCTCCTCCCAAAAGTTTTCTCCTCAATGAATTTAATCTTTGTCTACCTCATAATAACTATTTTTAATAGCTTCCTAATAATGATCTTTTCTAGGCATTTTTAAGTTGCCTAAGAAAAAGAGGAAAATGGCTCATTAAAATAAAACAAGTGAGCTGGGCGTGGTGGTGAATGCCTTTAATCCCAGCACTCGGGAGGCAGAGGCAGGCAGATCTCTGTGAGTTCAAGGCCAGCCTGGTCTACAAAGCGAGTTCCAGGCTAGCTGGGGCTACAGAGAGACCCTGTCTCAAAAACGAAACAAAACAAAAATAAAAATAAAAAAAATAAAACAAGTGAACAAAACTTCACTATAAGTTGCTACCAAGTCCATGCTGTTGTATGGAACAAATCAATTCCCACTTACTCACTGTGGAAGTTTTCAATCTTAGTAGCAGTTATCACTGAGTAAGGGATCTTAGCAATTTATACTCATGTTTCTCAGGCCTACAACATACTCAAACACCATAGATACAAAAGAAATTTTAAAATTATCATGACAACGTCTTAACTTTATCGGTTTCTTGAGCTTTGTTGGATATTTTCTTACTAATGTATATTCATAGACATATACAAATACATATATATTTGTTTTTCTGAGAAAAGGTATTACGTAGTCTAGAGAGGCCTTCAACTTGGTATGTAGTCTAGGATAGCCTTGGAACCTGAGCTTGCCTCCAACTACTAGTGCTGGATTACAGGTGTGTGCCACCATACCTGGCTGCATTTACTATATTTGATAGCTAGCATTAGAATAAATTTTTTGAAAGTAAAATTTCTGAGCCAAAGATTAAATTCATATGCAATTTTGCTAAGACAAACTTTCACTCACTAGTAAGATATGAGCATGCTTGTTTTCACTCAAAAGTGCCAACAAAATATGCTGAGAAAATTTTGAACTTCTGCCAATCTGATACATAGCAATAGTATCTCAGTGCAGAATGAATTTGCATTTCTTTTATGAACAAGATTATCTTTTCCTATGTATAAGGTCATCCCCATTTCTTTTTGTGAGGCAGTTGGCCAGCTTTATTTTTATTTATTTATTTATTTTTTGCTGGCTTTTTTCTTTACAAATTCTGCTGCTCTGTAGAGAAGTAGATTGATCCTCTGTCTGATAGGTTTGGAGATATTCTGTTTGTCATTTGTATTTTGACTCTAAGATATTGTTTTTAAGCTGTAGAAGGTAATCTATCCTGTGTTAAATGTATCTTTTCTTTCACCACTAATGGATTAAATACAAATCATAGTTGTTGAAATTGTTTTCCTTCTCTAAGAAAATAAACATTTTGACCCACCTCTTTTCACCTTTATAACTCAATATACATTTAAAAATAAAAGACCAGATTAAGTTTACATAATGTTTGGTTGATTTTATTTCCATGATTACTAAATATGTTATTTGAAAATGTATTTATTTGAAGCACTGTGGCTAAGAACTAGCAAACAAGTTTGCTCTTCTATCCCTTATGCATTAATTAATGCTCGGCCTGAATGTTCAAAGACCTTTACCTTATCTTTTGTGTATGTGTTTTTTAAACTTCAAAGTCCAAGAATTTCACTTAATGTTTGTAGGACGTCTTCTATGTTTTTATAGGGTGTTTTTTATGTCTTTCTAATATGTAGAATTAAGTCTTCTTTTAGCCACGTGTTCTTCAATAACTATCCAGTACTTACTCTGTCCTAAGCCTCTGATTTGCTTCTGCAGGGGCTAAAATGATATAGCGTTCAACTGCCTTTATTTTTTAGGTCATTCTTCTCAAGTTCTTTTCCTTACTTGGTCTGTGTATTTTCATGCCTCCTATTTATTCTCTATTTCCCTTACATTTTCCATGGTGTCTATACCATGTTCCTCCAGTGTTGTGGAACAAAGTATTTTTCTAACTATTTTAACAGTCTTTGGGCTCTCTTTTTACCTACCCCATCAGTTATCTCTTTTCTGAACTTTTCAAAGTCTGACTTACGCTACTGCCATACATTCTACAGTTTAATTTACACATATTTTATATTAAAGTTTTCATCTACTTTTTTCATTATCATTCAGCATTCTGCTAAGTTTAGTTTCTTCAACTTTTTAAAGAAAATTGTATTTTAATCCATTCATGTTGATCATGCTTAAATAAGAACTTTTGTATTTTCTTTCTTTACTATTTTATTTTTTTTATTTTATGTGTATGCATGTATTGCCTGCGTGTAGGTAAGCGCACCCATGTTGTGCCATGCCCGTGGAGGACAGAAGAGGCTGTTGGATCACCTGGAACTGCAGTTACGGACAGTTACTAGTGCCATGTGGGTGCTGGGATTCGAACCTGGGTCTTCTCCAAAAAACAACCAGTGTTCTTAACTGATGAACCATCTCTCCAGCCCTAGAACTTCTGTATTTTCAAAAGAAGGTTTCATTTTGAGTGATGAGAATGGGTCAGAGTTGATTTCCTAGATTTCCTGCTCAAGGGCACCATTGTCCATTAAAAACAACGGCCTATGTTCACAGCTCCGAGTCTACCTCTGTTTCTGGACTTTTTCCTTTCATTGCTACTGCTTGCCCTATATAAGTTTTTGGTTCCTCTCTATACAGCTGTTTCCCTTAGGCTGTAAGTCTGTTATTTCCTATGAGGTCGCCTGAGGTCTTTAAGGATTTAGGACGGTCCTGTTTGTTCTGATCTTCTCAAGACTCCCCTGCCCCCCATGGCCCTTCTGTGCTCTCTGAAAGCTAGAACCCACAGCTGTTCTCAAAAGTACTTCCTGGAGTGCTGTGTGTTGTGTTCTTCCTTAGAGCAGAACATTTGTTTTCTGCATCAGGGCTCTTGAACCTTGAGCAGCTCTATCTTGCTCCTCTTCACAACTTCCATGCAGTCTCTAAACATGGGTAGGACCTCTGTCATTACAGTTCAAATATTCATTATTATTCTACAGTTGTCAGGAAGACAGCATGACCCACATTTTTTAAAAGTGGCTTGTGCATATATATGTGCATGCTACTGATGCTATTTGGGATCTGTTTTAGGGAACAGATTTCCAAAGACTCAAATACTATGAAGTTTTCAAATCCTCAGCCCAATCAGAATTCCTTTTTGTTTAATGACACAAAGCATATAATAGCATAACTAACCAACTGGATATATTTTTCTTCTTAATTGTCTTAACTGTAATCATTACTTATGCATAATCTGAAAATAAAAGATTACCCCTCCTCCTAAAAAGAAGAAAAGTCTGCTGATTTCTTATAATCACTTACGTTCTTCTTGGCCGTAGTCTCTGATCACTGTATGGAATCAATGCAACCAGTTGGTTTTCTTGCCCTGAAAGGGAAAGATGTAAGTTGAGAAATGAAAAAGAATTATTAAAAATACAGGAGTGCACCATCAGAATCTGGTTTCCTACGAGAAGAGAATACCTACTGGCTCTCACTCATTCCTTCAGTGAACTCCTCTGTCTTCAAAAATTATCTCATGGGAATGGGGCTCTACAGAACACACTGGTCTTTCACAGTATCTAGCTAATCAAATCTAGCATAGAGAAAGAGGGCTGTACTACACTTTTGTCCACTGGGGGGAAAAAATCAGAAAAGCTCCGATTTTCAGAAGCTCTGAATTTATTCCATCTTCTTTTGACTCCACTGTTTTGCATTCAGTCACCAATTAAACAGAGTGGAAGAGACATGCTGCTGTCTCCCTTTCCTCAAACTTCTCTCACTCTATCCTATACCAAAACTGCTATTCTAAATCACAAGCTTTCAGGAGCTTATTGTGCTCATCTGAGATCAGTCATTTCAAAGTGGCCCTTAACAAGGCATACAGTTAATATAGTATTCCCTTAGCTCACACTCTCCAAATCCACAAGAAAATTCAACTCTTTCAAACCCCCAGCAAATCTTCTCCCTTTCCCTAGGATTGGTTCATAATGTGGATAAAGGAAGAGAACTTCTGGAAGCCCCTACCACTGTATTTATAAAAGAATTGTAGATGCCCTAAATCAAGTTACAGGACAGAAAACAGAGAGAAGAGAGAGGTAAGTTCATTTTAACTCATAGCATTAGACAAAAAAGGAAGAAAAGTGTTCCGTATTCTCTCCTGTACAATGACTAACCGAGGCCACACTGCATTCTGCTTTTGGAACCAACCAACCAATTGGCAAAATCTTCTCTTTCCAGATTATCTGGCTATCCCAGGACTTCTATTTTGTCCTGCCATCTCCAAAGGCAAAACAGATTCAATAAAAATGATTTATAATTCTCCTAAAATTTCATTATGAAATATCTTGGTTCCTTAGGACTGGCAGACATTTTTCTAAATGCTACGGGCAATGCTGATGATGACTTCAGAGAATCTGACCCAGGAACACTTAACAGATTTTGGCTAAAATCTGTAACAGCTCAATAAGCCCTTTATTTCAGAGACTCCTCTGCCTCAGAAGTTTGATTTGAAAATATCTACTCACCTACCTGCTTCGATGTCCTAACACTGTTTTCTCTTATTTCTAAGGAGAAATACCCTGTCCTCTATACGAGCAGCCTTCTGTACTTGTGTACTAGATCTCACCCTTTTTCCTACTTAAGGACACTGCTCCAATAGTACCCCATCTCCTGCATTACCAATAAATCACAATGAATCACTCGTATCATCATGCAAACAGCTAGTATTCACTTCATCTTTAGAAAGGAATCTTTCTCTAGACCTTACAATCCCCTCCAGCTACCACTTCTCTACTCTTCTGTTCTATAAAGCAAAATTCATGAAAAGCATTATCTCTTTGTAACTTCTATGAAGTGCTCTTGATCCCACCATGTGCTAGGTACCCCCCACCTTTTTATTAGTATGTATTAGTTGAAGAAAATAATCGGTTTTATTATGACACTGTCTATGCATGCTTTTGCAACTAGTGAGATGACCCTTTTGAAGATCTCTAGGGGCATCCGCATCACTAAATCAATGGGCAGTTCTCACTGACTCATATCTCAGTAGCATCAATAGCTGCCCTTTCTCTCTTCCCCTATAAGCTTTCTTCACCTATCTTCTAAGATACCACAGACACAGGAATTTTCCTCCTCTCTCTCTCTCTCTCTCTCTCTCTCTCTCTCTCTCTCTCTCTGGCTGCTTTTTCCCAGTGTCCTCTGCAAACGCTTTCTCATGTCACTGACCTCAAATGCTGCACTAGCTCAGAGTTCAGTGCTAGAGTCTCTTCCTCCTTCTATCAAAACTGATAAACAGAGTGTTCTCATCAAGCTCCACTTGAAGTATCATCATATACTGATGACCCCAGGGCAAGTTCTGTATGTAAATTACAGATCCTGATAACTGCCTATTTGTTGGGGACCTCTGCTGTGTTAGGTCGAAGTCTCTCCATGTCCGGATAGCCCAAGGGGCTCGGCGTTTCTATGCAGAGACTCCTTTTCTCAGCAGGGCGCCTTCCTATTCTCTTCCTGACTCATCTTTGAAGTGGCCGTCAGAGATACATGTCCTCTGGCTCAGAAACTACCAGGTTTTCCTGTGTGATAATCAGGCACTGTCTGACAGCCTGGCAGAAGCCCACCACCACACGTAAATGGGGCATCCTACAAAGCACCTATCAACTAAGACTTTTGCCACTGCCTTCACACTATAAATATCCTGGTTTTCCCCTTAATAAATTGGAGCTGCATCAGGAGCTGAGCTGTACCAGTCTCTTATTCAGTCTCTCAGGAGGGGGCTGTCCCTTTGTAAACAACAACTCGAGAAGACCCTGCTTTCGCCGTTCCCGCACCTCCCCTCGTGACCTGGCGGCTGATGGATCTCGAACCTAAAGGGAGTGCCCGGTAGCTTGGAAAGGAACATGCCTGGAAGCGCAGTGACCAGTAGAGTCGCCAGCATCCAGTAGCCGCGGAGACCCTCAGCAACGCGGCGCGCGGGACCCACCCCAGTGGCGCGCAAGAGACAGGCGCCAGCCAGCTGCTGGCGCGCCCATACCTATTAAAAACATTTACTTTGCTAGGTGTGGTGGCCAGGACTTGGGAGGTAAAGGCTGGCAGATCTCTGAGAGGCCAGCCTGGTCTACATAGAGAGTTCCAGGCCAGTTGGGGCTACAGGGAGACCCTGTCTCAAAAAGACCAAAAAAAAAAAAAAGACAAAAAAAAAAAAATCACTTTGGGGTCAAATGTTCCTCTCCAAAATTCATCTAAAATTGAGTGCCTACCCTCACTTCTGAATGCACATGCAAATCTTCTTTTCCCTATCTTAGTAAGTATTTACTGCATTCTTTAATTGCCAAATGAAAAAAATCCTTTGGTGTTATCCTTGATTACCTTCTTTCCATAATCCATATCCAGGTTTCCAAAAAGCCTATTAGTCATACCTTAAAAACATGGCTAGATTGCCAAAATCAGAATCCTTCCCCTCTCACCCTGGGGGATTAACTTCTTCAGCCATGATACTTCTTCTTTTCTCAAGTAGCTACTATCCACACAAAGATTAAAACATCATGTTCCTATGCACCAAACCCCATCTAATGCGAGACACTTCTCAAAGACTCTGGAATTCCCGAGGAAGTCATTTTGCCCTTCCTTTAGGGTTGCCCAAGGTCACCTATTGACTTTTACTAAGAAAATGGGAATAGCACAAGGCAACTTTACTATTTCTCCTTTCTATCAGTGCAACCAACGCATCCTACAAACAGCGCATGCGGAACTACTGCCTCCTGTCTTCCCCATGACAAATCACCAACTAATTTTTCCTGTACTTGACCCATCTTTATACACCCTGAATTTCCTTTTAGAAATAACTAATTCGTATACAAACAACCTATTCTTTAGCTAAGTATTGAATTATGTAATTGCTCCAAATAGCCAATATGGCAAAATGACTATGATACAGCTTCTAAAGATGTCAAAAAGGACCAAAAATTTCAGCAATATTGGTTATAATAGAAGATAGGGGAAAAATTAAAAAAAACAACAACAAAACCAACAGATGTAGTAAAGTTAATCTCCATCACTGCTTTAGGAAACTTACCAAATATTTGCTAATCTCTTTGTATTTTTTTGACTGAGGAAAATGGGTAAGGTTTGACTTTGAATCTTTTAAAATAGAATTATGCAAGCCCATAGTTTTCATACTGTTTACACAAATACTTAGAATCATTCTTTAAAAGAAAATGCAGAAACACATACCCCTAGGGATTCTTCCTGTTCCTTGACAAGTAGGGCAAGTGACACTGTCTCTTCCAGTGAATTCCACATATGGAAACTGAGAGACATCTCCGTTTCTTCCATCTTCATTATGGACTTCACTATTAACCAGTCCATTCCTCATGTTGTCTGTTGATGTGACCCCATCATAAGCATCTTCTTTATTTGAATGCAAAGGTAAATGAGAAAGCGACTTTCCCATGTCTAATGAAAGAAAAAAAAATCTGACTGTGAACTCCAGGGGGGAAGTACTTTCAAATTCTATAGGATATTCATACTAATCCTTAATGCTGAGCCAACTTCAAGAGAGTGGAAACTACTTTTAGGATTAGAATCAAATTCAACGAAAATAGTCTGATGCAAGGAAGCCAACTGCCAGGATTCAGAATTGGACTTTTAACAAAATATTACAAAATGATATCTTGTCATACTTGTGATAAGAGTAAGCTTCAGCTAACATTTGACAGAAGTCTGTAATGTACATAGATTCTGCCCCTTTTAGGGTTTATCATAGAACAAAACACATTTTTACCTTTAAACCAGTTGGCACCAAAGATTAAAGCAGCTTTGGGCAGATTACAACAGACATGTGTTATTACCAGATAATTTCAAAGTAGCACTGTTCACTCATTTAAAACTTATACTTCTTTGAATTCCATATTGAGTTCTTGCTTCATAAACTGCAACAAATATTTGCAACGAAGAGAAAACAACCAAAACTGAAGATTTCAAATCATAAACATTTTTCTCTATTAGTTGGCAGTTAAAATTATGAAGCAAATATTCAGAAATAGTTAACATAATTAATCATACAAAACAGCAAAATGTATATATTAACTTCAAATTTTCAGGATAACAGCTTAAACAACATGAGAAAAAAATATAAATTTAAAAGCCAAATAAGTAGTTCTAGTACCCAACCAAAAATCACCTCTGGAGATAGGTTAGTAACATTGAAAATAAGATCCCATAATTTCAATACTGAAAGAACATGTAAAACCACATAATCCGCTAGTATTCTGAGAAAAATTAATAGAAAGGGAAAACAAAATTTAAAAAACATAATTCCACTCTTTCTAAATTTAATCATGTGTACCATTTATGTCTCTAAATATAAATTGTTAGATATTCATAGAGACATTCCTTTTAAGATTCTCTTATATAAAGAAATCCATCACTGATGGTGAATTCAAACCATCTCATATGAAGGAAACATATTTTTAAAATTTGCATGCTATTTGTTGAATTCACTCAAGCAGATCAAGCAAGATCATGAAACTACACTAATATAAAAACTTCTAAGGGTAGAAAGATGAATAATTTTTTTCACTATTTTACTATTTAAAATATTCTACCCACACCCTGCCTGCCCAAGCTCAAAAGCATTAATGATAGTAACTTCTAAACAAGCAACATCTGAATTTGGCTTAATGACAGTAAATCTGAGCCAAACCAGCTCCTGCCAGCCACAGGTGGCTCAGGGGTGAATGTTAACCATCTCTGTTCCCACACACTGTGACCTTGGAGTCTATGTTGAACATTGGGTGCTGTGGGATCTCCGGGTCTCAGTGGATGGCCCCCGGGTCACCCTTTGGGGCCTCTTAAGACAACACAACGGTGGAAACTGCATTCTACTGGTGGGAAGCTTCTGCCTCAAGAAAGAGAAGTGGATGCGGTTCAGGCCTGCCCTTGGTTCAGATCTACAGCAACCTGGACAGATTCTGCTGTAGGCAGGTTTGGGCACGTACAGGACTAAGCAGATACTTAAACAGGAATTCCTATGCAGGAATCCCAGGCTTCTTTCCTAGCTTCTCCAGAGAGCCCTGACAAGCCCAAACACTCATTTTTTGAGACTTGAGGTTTAAAAAGGAGTTCTAGACCCCTTTAGCCCTGCCTTGGGCTCAATGTTTATATCACGGTCTCGGAAACTTAATACAGTTCTCTGATGGTCTGGAAAGGGGGAAAAAGATAAATAAGAGCCCTCCACCCAATTGGGATGTGTCACGACCTAATCTTTCTGTGCAGACATGGGGTTAGTTTTGAAGGGTTCTAGAAGGAAGGAAACAAAACACTCTACAAGCAAAACCCAAGCACGCAGCCTTACAACGCAAGGGTTAAGATCAAGATTCGATACATGGTGCAAAAACATTGAAGACCAGGAAGACGCAGGACCACTAGGCCGCGGGCCGGGGGGCGACCAAAAACCGCAGGAGGCCAGGACCGGAGGTGACTGCCCTGCACCCGGCCGCCACGGCCTCCCTCACGCTCGGGCGGGGACTAGGGGCCGCCCGGCCCGGGACGCTCACCGGCACGCGGGGCGCTGCGTGGTCCCGGGCTGCTCCGGCGCGGGCAGGCCACAGGACGCGGTCACGGCGTCCCTGGTCCCGGTTCGGGGCCGAGCGCGGCGGGGGAGGGGGAGGACCACAACGGCATCAGCTGAGCCCCGCCACGGAAAACTGCGCCTGCGTCTGCGCCTGCGCCTGCACAGCTTGCCCCCCGCCCCCCGGAGGGCGGGGCGCGCGCGCGCCGGCCGTGCTCAGCGCATGCGTCCTTCCTCAGCCTGCTTCTCGTCCTCGAAGTTTGGCTGCAGTGGATTAGGCGCTGTAGTGTTTGTCACTTGTGTGTTTTCTAGTATTCTGAGTTTGTAGACTGCTCTGGGTCCGCATGGCTTAATACTAATCAGCATTTTTCCCCTCCATTAGGCCATTCCTTTTGTGTATACTTGGGGGCTGTGGATGTGTACCATCTGACTCAGCTTTCAATTCATCTAGGAGTAGTCACAAGACTTCCTCCCTTGGAGGATGAGCGGGCGGGCACTTCTGGCAGTGTTGCACGGATTGTGTTTTCACTGAGAAACTCCTGCCCACAGGAAAATACTTCAGGCCTTCCATTTTATTTAATTAGGTGTTGATTTGTACTTCAGTTTACATGCTTTTGTTCATGCTGTCAGGGTTCTCCTCTAACCCTCATGACTTAATGGGCAGTACTGCAAAGTAATGAGAACCTCGCTCAAGTCCCAGTACTTAACTCATTTGGAGTTGCGGTTACTGTGGACTAGCTCCAAGTTCGTGTTGTTTCATGTATTAAATATGAAAAACGTGTGAACGTCAAATGGGATACGCCTAACAAAGCCTTTGGAGAGTTTTAACAGTGCTAAGGAGTGGTGGCAATTGTTATGATCCTAGCCACAAATACAGGTAAGCAATAAAAGGAGTCAGTAATTTATTTCACTGTTCTGATGACATCTGTATTGTTTGGCCAATGGAATATGAAGATGGGTAAGAGTAAGAAATATAAGTTAAAAGTGTACAATTTAACACTTAAAATGGCTCTATACATGTTGGAGTTGATGCATCTTCTTATACAATGTTGTAGACAATAGAAATACACAAGTTTTCTGGCAGGCAGGTATTAAATGAAGTTCCCAGACAAAAGACCCACCAACACTACATGGTCAACGAGACAGATTGACTAAAAGTTCAATGACTGTAGAGAGTTGGAATGTTGTCCAGAGCCGGATGATCTTGGGCTCTCCAAATAGTCATTTATTAATCAAATCTGTGTGACCTAAAAATCTTCTAACTATGGCAATATACAGACTTTTGCAATATACAGACTCCTAGCTTCCATCAACCCGAAAGTGAAGAGTGTCATCAGGTAATATCTAAGGCCTGTAGAAGACTTCCCTGCTTTACTATAACCTGCCTCCCTGAGGCCACCACAGACGTGTCAGTGGTGATCGGACAGAAACACAGTTCTATGATGTCAACCTTAGCAACCTCAGTGCCCCTGATCTTTAAAGACCTTGACTCAGGACTTACTAGAATTTGTGGTTTTGACACAGAAAAGAAGCAGAGTTAATAATTTTATTAAAAATACTAAGAAAGAAAGAAAAAGAGAATAAGAGCACGCTCATGGATATGGATATGGGTTAAAGAAGGAGAGTGAAACATCCCCAAGTGTAGGCATGGGCTCCTCAATTGCAATTGGCTTAGCATTAGCCATTTATTTTCATGGCTCTCAACTTACATCTCCAAAGGTTGCTAAGAAGCCTTTCTTTCCTCCTTTTTCTATTTCCTTGATAAGTGAGATACATAAGGTGATTCTGGAGATGCCCTAGATGGAATTTTAATCTGATAAAGTGAAACCAGAAGCCACTAGGGTTGCTTAAAGGGTTTAGTACATGTCCTTTTCCTGTAATGGAGTTTCTGATGAGATGCTTAGAAACTTGTACATTTATGGTTGGGAAGGAAGAGAAGTCTTAATCAGTTGTTAATTGAGTTGAAATTCTTTTTTCTCTGCTGACAAGGAGCTTCAACTCAGTTCTCAGGATTGGAACATGGTATTTGGGATAACCTGAATCTGTGTTCTCAGGTCATGGCCACTCACTCACATTTGGCTCCAGAATAAACTGTCTCTTATCCTTTATACCTTTTGAGGTAAGAGTTGAGTTTTTCTATCAACATAAGCAATGTGCTTCAAAACTATTTAAGATGTTCACTTCCTTTGGTCTAACAATTCTGCTCTTGGAAATTCATCCCAAATTAGTGAGAAATCTAAAAACGCAAATGTGTACAGTGTGTGATTATTCAAAGAGGAGGATAACCAACAATGGGATCAGTGCCCACCTAAGGGCACTCAGTAAACATTAGATTTATTTGTTTATTTATTTTGAAACAAGGTCTCTTAGAGTAGCCTTGGCTAGCCTTGAACTTGCATAGACTAAACAGGCTTCAGAGATATGTCTGCCTCTCCCTACCTCCTTATCCATAGTGCTGGGATTAAAACTATGCAATTGCCATGCACACCCAGAACATTAAAGATTAATATTACAGCATTCTGTTAGGTAACTAGATATTAACAGGTTTGAAGTTCACTAAGGACAAATCCCTAGCTCATAATCTGTAGTTTACAAAACCAAGAACTAAAACTGCATAACTTTGATAACTTATCAAAAGAATGTTTTGACCCCAGGTGGAGAGATGACATTCTAAACTGTCCAAAAGATCATAAAATTACTGTCTAGCTGGAGACTTTCTTGTAAAGAGCAAAGATATACAGTCAGTGATGATGGAAGCAGAGACATAACTCATGTTTCTTCTACCAGCAGCCTGGAAAGTTCTTTTTCAGAGACTGCCACTCAGTTAAAGCTAAATCCTTGGCTTTGCTTCAGGGAAGAACTTTAGGAAGATACAATATGAAGCAGAGTTGAAGTTTATTAAAAAGGTATTTTTAACAGATTTTATGCATAGAGTTTAATAAAATTAGAAGGGCTCACAGAAAGAATAAGTCACATCTGAGTCCATGGATGTGGGCTTCTTGTATGAGAATGAGACTTTGTTCTTTATACTAGCCATATATACTGTTTCAAGTTATTATCTTACATGAGATCAAAGGGTGATTCCTGAGCTATATTGAATGGGATTACAACTGATAAGGTAGCTAGGTGTGGTGGTGCACACCTTTAATACCATCAGGTGGATTTCTGTGAGTTCAAGGCCAGCCTTGTCTACGTATCAATTCAGGCCAGCTGGGGCTACTCTCAAAAAGACCAAAAAAAAAAAAAAAAAAAAAAAAACCAACCAAACAAAAAAACCCTGATAAGGTAAACTAGACTCTAGACATAGGGATGCAGGAAGTTAAGACATCTTCTTCACCTTGAACAAAGGTTGCTAGTCTTGTTTGTGAGATCTTCAAAAAATACCTGGGGGCAGAGTAAGGTCATAGTTGAGGTCTTATGTGCTCAATCCTAAAAACCAGTTTATTATTGATGATTCTGGGAATCAGAGTCCCTTTTGGAGTTATTAGTCTCATTAATAAAAGGATTAAAGAATGGACTCAAGCAGAGGGTGTAAATCTCAGCAGCGGCCCAGAGGAGGGGAATGCAGAAGTGAAAAAGAGCCATGATGTTTAAGTTGGCATGGAGTTCACACACAAGGCAGACTAGCAGCCACAAGGCAAAGAAGGGGGGTTCAGGGAAAGGAATGAAGCTGAAAATGTCAGGGAAGTTCAGAGTGTGAGAGGAAAACATGCTTAGGAAAGAGAAGAAAAGAAACTGCACTTTCCTGAATAATTTTAAAAGCAGACTGACTTTTGGCTACAACCTGGTGAGCTATTGTGCTGGGGGTGGAGATCTGGGGAAAGAAAAATATAGTGTCTCATTGCAGGAAAAATGATTCTGCCTATCTCTTTGGCATGGCTTAAGGTAAACACACCCTCCTGAAGTGGCCCCTTGACCAGATGATTGACCTGCCCAACTGGAATGTTAGGTCTCCACCCAGGCCAGAGATTCTATTCTCTGGACCAGAATTTATTTTTTTGTTAATGGGCCTTTATTGCTACTCAATCATTGTTTTTATATTTTTTAAAAGAATATTGTCTGTGTTGGCAACCTTCCTAGTGAGTGTTAATTGTGCTAGAATTCTTACTTCCCAGCTAAGATGCTTCAACAAGTTTCATGAGTGCAGGAATCCTTTTCTTATCCTTCTTTGGTGGTTTTCCCTGTCTTTCAATCTGTTGTCCCCTCCCTTAATAGTTAATCAAAATGGGCCTGTCAATCACCTGGGCAGGGAAAATGCCCTTAAAAATGTTGAAGAAAATGGCATTCCTAAACGTGTAGGTCAGCACTGTGGTCTCCCTGGCTATTGTCACTTGAGACCATGAGAGAACTTTTCTTCTGCAATAGACCCTTGACCTTTACCCATTCTTATCATTGGGAATACCCTGTGCTATTCTGTGACAAACTCTCCCTGTCTTCTACACTGTGGTCTGCATGTCTCATCTGAATTCTTTCTGCAGAGATTACAGATACTCAGGAGCTGAAAAGAAAAAGAAGCAGAATGAAATCATGGCATCCATTTCCAATTTTTTATTTAGTATGCATTTTTCAAAAAAGGAACAAAAGTGCCCATCACTTGCATTGTTTGAAATATCAAAATGAATACTTTTTTATTGCATACCTTGGTGTGAGCCTAATATTTCACATGTAATACAAGCATGAGTTCTTTTTTAAAAGATGATAGAATTCTCAAATAACAGCTCATTCAAAGTCTCTTTCAGTAATGACACAGAACTTCTAAGACTATGAATTTTGCCCCTGCCCCTTGACACTTTGTGTGTGTATGTGTGTGTATAATGGACTCATGCACTCTGTTGAAGTTAACTATGAAAGCCAGATTAAAAATCATGACTGTGAAGTAGCTAAAGATTATTGTGGGGAGGGATTGTGCTATAAAACTTCAAGTAGATGAAGAAGTTTTAGTGAGACCTCCATCATTATGATAACAGTGCTACTTATGCTAGTCTTTATTACCCCTCATTTTCAAAACTGGCATTAATTAGGAATTAGAGACAGAGAAGAGTTGCTTATGGCATAGTACTGTCAAGTTACTCCTGTTTCCTTTCAGAACTCCTTAATTCATCTTCTTCCTTTGTATTTTTTCATTTCCTCTTGTTAAAAAGCATTATAGTTATTTACAT